AATGAAAATAACTTGGAATGGTCTTTCTGAGAGGGAGGACTGTGATGAAAACGAAGGAAATAATAGGTGGAAAGAAAGGGTAGTGTTGACAGATAAAACTGAAAAAGCTAATATCCACGAAATGGTAGGCCGCTCCTGGGCAATAACCATATTGCCCCTCGAAATCAACGTTTTCGAAAAATCTCATTACCTTTTACAAACGTTGGTATTGGATTCTCAAGTACACTCATTCCAACAAAAGGATTGTGATGAAACCCTTCATCAGCCGTGGTGGGATAAAATCTTGATCAGAGCTTCCTACTTTATTGTCAACCTCCCTGGACAAGTCTATTTCCATGGTGTCGAAGAAACTTGCAATTTTTTTCATGGTCTTTTTCAGGATGGCCCTTGATTTGTACTTTGCCGCTTTACACTTTTGAAAAAGCCATACGGAAATCATTTCGAAGCTTCGCATACGTAAGTATATACGTCTTTGAGGGCCCCCGAGAAAAGGGCGCCCCCCATAGCGCCTAATAAAGCAGACCCACCGCACAATGAAGCCCGTTTCAAAGAATCGGGAATGAGTTCTGGGAAAATTCGACGAGGTATTACGACAACATTGGACGGTTACAGCGATTCAGAGTGGTTGAAAGCCTCCGTAACTTTTGTAATCACTTGTAGTAATTTAAGTTCTTGTCAGCGCTTCCTAGTGGGTTTGGGTGAACATTGAACCGGATTCAATCCCCGGACTGTGCGTGTGATAATGTGTCCACCTGCCACTGCACCACCTCCACGCAAAATCCGCACAAATCCCAAAATATAAGGCCATTTCTAAACTATACGTTTATAAAGTTGGACGAGATTAGCGGACGGAATAGGGTTCGGATGAAATTTCAGACGCTGGCAGAGCAACGTGTATAAGCTATTAGCATATATCAGCCGAGTGTTTTTTATAACGAGCATGCTCCATTCTGAAAGATATCGACATCTGTAGAACCGATAAACACGTCCTTCCTGAGAGTATTGAAGAGAAACCGGAATGGAGCCCGTACTGATCCCTATACAGGCCCCTTTTCGAACCTCAAAAACCTAGCATGGCTTTCTCAGGAGCCATAGATTCAGCCTATTGAGTTAAGTATCTGCCACGAACTTAGTCTCTCAAGAGGGAAAGGGTATTAGACATAGTAAACGATGACGAGAGGGAACTTTTACGATTCATACGACTTTTACGACGAGTGGTTCTTATGGCCCATCTACCTGAGGATGGTCTCATGTGGATTGTTTTACTATGCCAAAAGTTTTGAGTCCACACGTTCCTGAAATGAAAGGGTGATCCTCTGAGTTCATAAACAACGCTTCATCTGATATAAAACCACCTATCTCAAGCCCAACTTGGAATAAATCCGGAATCTTATGAACAAATGGCTGTTAGCAAGAATGAGCTCTTCCAAGATCCCTTATGTTGACCACTGAGACTGCAAGTTCGTATACCTGAGATGTCTCTGTTCTTGCCTTGCTCTGTCTGTCCTGAGGAGGATTAAGCCCTTTAGCATCGACTAACTCCGTTCTGACATGGGCCACCGCCACCAACATCCATTCAGAATTGTAGCGGCGTTTGAATGCGTATGTGTCCTATACAGTGGCTTGCATTGTCAGCGCTCTCACCCTACCAGACGCGTCTCATATCCCATGGGATAGATGGCTTTGTTGGCCCGAGCGGGTATTGATCCCGGATCGCTCCCAGCACCAGCGTCTTTCCTATTGCGCCACTTGACACTTCTCCATGTCATCCGTCCCGGAGTAGTATTCTTGCATAACGATTCCGTGGGAGCGTCCAGAACATATAATATCAGGAAGAAAATTTAAGTAAAATTGAAAAATCGGGCTTGTCATCTTAGTTTTGACTGCCCTGCCCGCCTGCCCGGGCTTTGAAAAATCGAGGATTTCCCAGTTCCCTCAGAAACGTAGGTAGGTTCGAGTCAATCGATACGCACCTCTTCCTTTTCGTGAATTCATTCATTTTCCGGATTCGAGGAATTTGCACGCTGCCTTTTACTTTCGCATGAAAAGGTTGTCATATGCAGAGTAAATCTCTTCGAAGGACTCTGTGATTGATGTTCGAAGCTGCACGGAGCATTTCTAGCCGATTAGTTAAGTGCTCAATGTAGATAAATGGTCACAAGGAGGAAGCTCCGTGGAAATCGGATACTGAAAGCCTCACTTTACGAGGAAAACACTTAAACACTAAGTTTTCGTGCCACTCCCTTTGCTGAGGTCATGCTCAGAGGTAGGCTGATCCAGGCCAGGTCGTCCATCGGCTTCTAATTAGGTAGCTTTACATGTCAGTTTGAGGTTACAGACTGTAAGGAATCCACAAATGCTACTGAAATAAATCCGTAGGAGCAACTGAAGGAAGCGCAAGTTTGTGCCATAAAATCTAATCTGGGAAATATAAAGAGATTTCTTGGAATCAAGGGCTATTCACCAAGCTGTCTTGGCTGCAAGCCAAATCTCTCCAAATAGTACTAAGCTCCCTGAGGGAGCGGGATTTAGTCCAGCTCCTACTCGTAGTCGATCAAGAAGTGTTTGTACTTCTCCGGATGGGCCTCTGCTGAAGACCTCATCCACTCAGCTCAGATCACTTGATAAAGTGCGTCTTAGTGTGTTGACTTCACAGAGTTAAGCTGTGGTTGAAAACAAAAGCAACACGACCTCCATTGTGAAATCCCGGCTAAAGCAATCGGGTCATGGCTCTAAAGAACTAGTAATCTGAAATCCAAGGATTACTATCGAGTTTGAGCGGTCATAATCAAAGTCACTTCATGGGAATGTCCCAATTTTGATCTAGTAGGAGTTGGAAATATCTCATGGGAATATTAAATGCGCTCACTCTACTTTGAGTAGCAAACGAGGACGGGTTCCACGAAAGGCAGGAAGTTGGTCGTACAGAAAGCTAAGTATCCGTCATGAAGTTTGGTGAGCAGATCAGGAAAATCAGGATCAGGAAAAAGGGATTGATCAGGAAAGACCCCGCTAACAAGTTCCAATTGACATCCAACAAAGGGACCATCATTTTGAGCTGTTCGTCCTGGTTGTATTGTTACGTAGTCTCCGGGAAATATTTGCTGATAAAAGTCCAGATTTCTTCTGAAATGTTTTGGAGGTCTCATCGAATAATCACTATGAAAGTGCATCATTCACTTGTATCTCATTACACATCCTTAGATTTCATGACATCGCAGTTGTCCGACCGAACGAGACTCATCTCTGACCTTCATGCTTCCCGCTTCGAAGCGCCAGAAGGACGACTGCACAGATACGCCAAGAAGGGGCTTCAACACCAATTCTCACAACACTTCGATAGGTTTCGGTAGTGAGGTGGTCGGAATTGAACTTATGAAGAAGTACGTGTCAAAATGGGGCAGGAGGGTGGCAGTGCGACCATTGTCGTGTTCAATACGGAAGGAAGTGGGAGCTGCTAGATTTTATGCCTCCACAGCTGGGTCGTTACATAGAAGACCGGAAAGAATTTGAGCCTCTTCGAAATCTCCGGTCAACAGTTTCGAACGACCTAATAGGAATCTGAGGTCAACTCCACAAGAACAAGAATTCCTCAGAGACATATCGAGGATAAGCAAGAATATGCTCTGGAAACACCTTCAGAGCCGGAAATGTTAGACCGGATATTGAGGGAGATTATGGAATAATTCGAATGTGTCATAGCATCGATTCAAGGGCTTCTAAGGAAAAGAATTGAGCGAATACCTTTGTTGCAACTGGTTTTCATACACCTATGGCTACACCAGGTGACAAAGGAGTAATCTACTAGTAAGAGCTGATCCTCACTGCTTCCCATGTCTGATAGGTCAGGCCATACTTGACTGAAATGTCCAATTTCCATCATTCGGCCGAGGAGGGGCATCAGCCAATTTTACCATTTATCACATTTCGCTATTATTCGAATGTTAGACCGGTAGACCGAATGAAGGTAAGGGAAGCCCTCCGTTGAGAGGATAATAAAACCCTTTGAGTCCTACTGTTATGCCGAAAGTAAGATTACCAGTTAACTCTCACATGACACGTTAAACCCTTGGATTCCCCAACAGTGCGGGAAGTTTCATCCCTAGATTCGCTCACAGAGCGGTAGGGGTAGGAAGCCTTCATCATCAGCCATCATCAGGGGGTCTAACTCGGAAAGTGTAGNATGAACCCTTTCAACTGAGAAGGTTCGAAGGGTTCAATATCAACGGAGCCTTCATTTTTAGGACTCATCATTTCATCAAAGGACATTCATCACAACTCGAACTTAACTCTGGGGCAATTCAGTCAGATCTCAATGTGGCGCCCTAATCCAGCTGATTTTTCTTTGGTCCACTTCGAACGCCATTAGATTACTAGTTAAAACTTACTAAATAGCAACAGAATATAACAGTACTGCACTCCAGTAAACCTCGATAGAACCAGTTTTTTTCTATCGCACCGATTGTTCCCATTCATTTACTTATTTATTTATGTGTTCACAGACGCGCCAGAGTAATACCTTTTAATCATTCTGTCGCCGTTCCTTTTGAATATCTGATGAAGAAGCATTTGCCCCATCTCGAGTGTTATCTACTTTATTAGCAGTGTTTATAATGAAGATTGTGCTGTTTGTCGAGCGTTTTAGATGTTAATTGAATTCGTTTCAGGATGGCGCCATGCATTCGACTTTCATTCGGAATCGCCGTGATGCGTATGTGGCTATACATTGCTTGTGGTGGGCAGCCGATGTACAAGTTAGGGCTTTTAGCCTCCCAGACGAGTCTGATTCCGATTAACTGATCCCGAGGAACGAAAGATGTGTTTCGATCGGGTGGGTACCGATGCTGGGTTTGATCCCCGTACTATGCGTGTAGGATAGTGCGCTTCTTGCCACTACATCACATCCACCCAGTAGTAGGACAAAGTAGTAAAAAAATTATTAGAAATGGATTTTGAAAAGAAGAAATCAGAAGCCTCCATAACAGAAACTCTGTTCGTTGAGGAGTTTTCAGTTCCGCGTTTCAAAAGTGGCTTTCGCGATAAAGAACTGACTCATTACCAACTTTTACCAGTAAGTACTTTTATTTTGTAATACTTTCGGAAGGCGGAACCGAGAGTTAGCTTCCAGTTTCGGTCTTCTGTCAATCCATGCGTATAACTGTGAAGCAAACTCGATTAAGCCATGTCTAACGATGTGAACTAACGAATTTCGGTTCGGAGGCGGCTTGTGGACTCACATACTGCCGTACATCACCAGCTTGTGTCGGTAGAGCAGCACCATGTTCATAATGGTCACCGACGTACATGTGATCATCCATCATAACCGTACGGCAAACATCTACAATTACTACTTAAATCCAGAAGAATAAAGTAATTACTCATAGCACACGACAACTGGATATACTGACTAACAAAGTAGAAACGTGAAGTCCGAATAAGCACGAGTGGATACTGGCAACACATAGCGAGAGCCAAAGGAAAACAGGAATTTGGAGGAAAAAAACGAAGAAAACGTCATGTAATAGGTGTGGCGACGATTGGAGAGAAACAGACGGAGATTTCTTGGAAGCGTGAGGCAAAGGCAATCAGGAACGGCAATTAAAAATGATAAGAAAAAATCCTAATTAGGACGAGTGAGTTATCAAGAGTTCCTTCTCAGAAGATGTCACCTAGTACCCCTCGAGTAGCAACTACTACGCTCCAATGGCGCTCCTGTATACCTTTCCCTCCTCGCTCCGCCCCCTCTCCATTCTCCCGCCCCCTACTCGGTGCCTTCCATATTTAAAAAGGGTCTTATGGTTTGAGTGAAGTACCTATTCTAAATTTTAAACTCGGAAATTCAGAGAGGCCGTTTTGGAATATCAAGAAAATGAGGATTTTTTGTTTGTTGATCCATAGCAGTTTTGGAGGAGACGCTATTTTGAAGAGAAATATTTACATTTCGAGGAGCGACCGTAGTTTTCATGGTCCAATGGGCTTGCAATGGGTTGACAATGAATATATGACCATGAGATCTCGGCCAGTTTCAATAAAACTGGTAAAAAACCTTGAAAACTCTATTTTTTATAGTTTTAGCAAACTTTTATAGGTTTAAAGCAGTGTACCGTTCTAGGAAAAGGAGTGGGGGGGGGG